GTTTGTAGACACCATTTCCTAGGACGTCATGAATATAGAAAGGACCTTCCCATTTCTCACCTAGCTTTTCTTTATGGATCTTCTCAAGTTGGGATTTGTAACGAAGGACTTGCTCCCCTATAGTATAGCTCTGAAGAGTGAAGCGCGAATCATGACAGGCCTTTTGTAGTTGTTGAGATTTTTTTATTAAAGCCTGAGCTTTAGTATGGGCTTCCGGGATGTCTCCTAAAAGAACCTGAACACGTCGAAGAATATTTTCTTGTAGTTCTGTTTCGGTGGAAGGAGGAATTTCCAGTACTAGGAGTTTAACTTCATCAGGAAGAAGAGCATCCCTTCCATACATCAAGAAAAAAGGCTCATACCAGGTGGTGGAATGTTTTGTGATGTGGTATGCAAACAAAGCTAAGGGAATATATCGATCCCAGTCGCCTTTAAATTGTAGGACGCATTTCGACAACACTTCACAAAGGGTCCTATTGAAGCATTCTACGAGACCGTTAGTTTGGGGATGGTAAGTAGAGGAATACCGATGATGGACCCTCAGCTAGTTACAGATAGTGTCAATTAAAATGTTGTCGAAATGCTTGCTCTGGTCTGACAATATTACCCAAGAACATCCGTGTCAGCATATAATGTCCTCAATAATGAAGAACGTGACTAACGAAGCACTGGCATCAGGAATGGCTCTAGCTTCAGGCCACTTCGTAAGATACTCAGTTGCTACAACAATGTACTTGTTATCGCTCCTTGTAGGTACCAAAGGCCCTACAAGGTCGATTCTGATCCTATCAAATGGCAATCCAACCTTGATAGAATACCGGGGTTCACGTGTTCGGGGTCTGCCTTTTCTCTGGCAGACATCATATGACTGGATGTATTTCTTTACGTCTTCTCCCATCTGGGGCCAAAAATACCATTGTGTAATTCGCTGAAGAGTGGAAAAACTGTTAAAGTGTCTTGAAAGGGGGTCGGAGTGCATGCTGAAAAGGATGGCAGGAACCTCAGGCCGTTGAACAACACATAGAAGTTTGTGAGGTGGTTTTCGATGTTTTTTATATAATATATCGTTGATGAGGGTATAATGTCTTGTTTGTTGTTTTAGTTTCACTAATTGTGACAAATCACAATGCAGGGTGATTGGGTTTTTGAGATATTGTAGAAACAGTTGATATTGCGCAGGATCCATAACAAACAATTTAATAAATTTAGCTATTTTAACGTATATACAATGATAGAAAAAGTGATAAAGTTGTATAATAATAAAACTGAGTTTATTCGAAGTAGTCAAAAATCGGCAGGTGTTGTAGTAGAAGATTTAGCAATATGAGATAAACTGTCAGCGTTAGAATGAAATTTTCCGGCACGGCAAACGACGGTAACGGTATATTCCTGCAGGGCCAAAATCCAGCAAGTAAGACGTCCTTGATGTAGCTTGTGACGAAGCAAGGACTTGAGTGCAGAATGATCGGTTATAACAACGAAATGGGTATCGTGAAGATATTGTCAGAAGTGGGATATGGACCATACGACGGCCAGACACTCTTGTTCAGTCACTGAATAGTTGCGCTCGGCGGATAACATGCTACGACTTGCATAAGAAATGACCCTTTCTCTTCCTTGCAAATCTCTCTGAAAGAATTGCGCCAAGAGCGATTCTCGAAGCGTCCGTGAAAAGCAAAAACTCTTGTGAAAAATTAGGGTAGGCAAGAACGGGGGCCGTGGTGAGCTTTTCTTTTAAGGCCTAAAAGGCAGTTTCCTGTTTGGATGACCATAGATACTTGACGTCCTTTTTAAGAAGGAGATGAAGTAGGCAGTGATCTTTGAAAAGTCGTGAATGAACCTTCGATAGTAAGACGCCAGGCCCAGAAATCCTCGCAACTGTCGCAGGGTGGTAGGTACAGGAAAGCTACGAACAGCTTCCACCTTTTGGGGGTCAGTAGATACACCGTCAGGGCTAACAACATAGTCTAAAAATTTAAGTTCTCTTTTTGCAAAGTGACATTTCGTTGGACTTAAACGTAACTCCGCAGCCTGTAATCGAGAAAAAACCTTAGCTAGGTGAAAAAGATGAGCGTCGAAGGAAGTGAGAAAATATTGATGTCGTCTAAATATACGACAACAAAAATTCCGTTGATATCGTGAAAGATTCGATCCATAAGGCGCTGAAATGTAGCCGGGGCATTTGTAAGCCCAAAAGGCATAACGTTAAACTCATAAAGGCCATACTGAGAGATGAAAGCCGTCTTTTCACGATCTTTAGGGTCCATCTCAATTTGCCAATATCCACTAGCAAGGTCAGCAAGTATACCATGAGGAATTACTAAGAGTGTCAAGAAGATCGTCTATATGGGGGAGAGGATAACTATCTTTTCAGGTAACGGAGTTGAGTTTGCAGTAGTCGATGCAGAAACGGGTTTTATCTTTCTGCTTGACTAGAACGATGGGGGAAGCTCAGGGACTCTCAGAGGGACGAATGACGTTGTCCTCAAGCATTCGATCGATCTCTTCCCTCAGGAATCTCCTTTCTCCTGGGGAAGTTCGGTATGCTCTCTGTCTGATGGTGACAGCATCTCCTGTGTGGATGCAATGAGTGACCAAGTTGGTTCGTCCTAAGTCCAGTGAAGTCCATGCAAACAAATCATCGTTATCAGAAAGCAATCCATTCATACGATCTTTCTTGTCTTCGTTCAACTCTCCAACGTCCAACTCTAAAGGGGA